CAGAAAAACATAGAAAACAAGAAGCACAAGAAGCAAAAAACATATTGTAGATCAGGCTTTACTGTGACCGTGAAAACATTCGTCTGAACATTCAGTTTCATTAAAACTCGTTCGAGATAACTGAGAGCAATTGGCTGAATAGAAACCTTCTGCAGGAATCTTCCCGTTCCTGCAATCCATCTGCTTGCCAGATAATAGAAAATTCAGTTACACTAACCGAGATGTTTTTCTTGCGCGTGGGGGATTTGCGCGCGCGCGTCACCCCCGTGCATTTATCAATTTCGTATTATATTTTCCGATGAGGTGTAAATACACGTCATGCACATGTAATTTTAGTCGTGCGACGTCGCGCTATGCGAGTAGCGCAGACGCCGATCGTTATCGTTTGTATGTAGTAGCGTAATCGGGATCGCGTGACGTTTCGTTGTGAACGTCAAAAATTCGTTCCCGGACTTAATTATGCTCTTTTACGTTCTCGTTGCGAATCTAAACGTAGAAGCGCGTTACGTTGCAGCGAACATAAGCGTATGCCGGATCTTTTGTAATTAACGATTAGTCACGCGAAAGTCGCGAGACCATGAATTTGGTTGCTTCGATGTAATAGAAAGTGCTCTCGTTTAGTAGAGTGCGGCGTTTTGTTTGGTCGACGCACGTCCGTAAAAATACGACGTGCGTACAAATAGCTCTTTTCTGTGATCGCAAACTTGCCTCTTCATAAATTTCGCGAGAGAGAGAGAGAGAGAGAGAGAGAGAGAGAAAGAGAGAGAGAGAGAGCTACAAATAGACTACTACCTCCGTTACGTACATGCGTGCGTGTGTACAATGGATTGCAGAACGACTTAGATGTAATAAAATTGGGAGCTGGCCGAATTGTCAAAATTGAGGCTCGTTACTCTGACGGGCTTGTCTAGTAATTATATTATTAATTACATTTATTGTTAATTGTTATTAGTATTATTATTATTTATTATTATTTAGTGTTCCTAATTGTATTATTGTAAATCTATCTATAATGACTCTTAGTTGGGACAGTTTGGTGAGCTTTTAGTTTCATAGTGACTAAACTGTTTTGCAACTCATTGTACGTGAGTATTCGTCCTTCTGGATCGTAAAGTGTCATTTCTGTTTGCATGTAGATTACACACACACACACACACACACACACACACACACACACACACACACACACACATATATATACGAGCGCTTTTTTGTTTGTATATTAAAGAAAGTAGAGGAGCAAACACACATGAGCGTTGGTAGCTTTCCGGTTCTGTCGATATATTAACGGATAAAATAAACGAGGAAACAGTTGTGCGTTTCGCGCGAACAACACACGGGAGCATCGGTAACGAAAAGTCGATAGTCCCAGTGTCGTTGTTCTGCAATTTTCTAACGATAATAATTACCTCGTCAGGCATTATCGCGCAGGTATAACGTATCACATAATAGTTGCGCAACGACGCTCAACACGACACCGCTATTGTCAATCAAAGTAATTACAGAATAAAGACTTTCCAGAGTTTCGGGTCGTGTGTAGCGTTACTTGTGCGAAGAGAGATCGAAATTTTGTCATGCATTCCGATGGAGTTCAACGTCGAAATGAGAAAGAGGCTTAAAAAGAAAAAAAAAACGAAGGCTAGTCACACAATCGCAATTTGATTACGAATATTTTAGGTATCGTCGTAAGAGAAAGGGAGAGAGAGAGAGAGAGAAATTCCACAGAAGAATTTTATATTACAAAGATTTTTCTCATGGTATATCTCGCCATAGGAATACACGTAAATATAATATTACGAGGCCTTTATACGAAACAAAGTACGGAGAATATTTGCTGCTTTCAGGTATTAAGAAGAGAGAGAAAGAGAAAAACTAAATCGATTAGGCATCCAATAAAAAAACGCCGCCGTTTCGGATTTTTCATTAGTGCCGTACCGACCGCGCGTAATCTGGTACTCGAAAGTAAATCGCGAACGCGTATTCTCCGGTGTATTCTGGAGGAGATATGCGCGTGTCGATCGGTGTCTTATTGTAATCGTGTCCGGTGCCAAGTCTAAATTGTACGAGTGCAATAACTTGTTCCGCAGCACGTATGCTCGCATTAGACATCACACATGTACATACGCGGTCTTAAGCCAATGTCACACTGCAGATCGGAGACAGAGGATTGTGGATTGAAAATTAAAACTTGACCAATTGGAACGAAGCAAGCCAAGATCGAAGTTCGTTAATTTATCGAAATCCAACCTTCAATCCACAATCCTCCATCTCCATAATCCGTAGATACAGGTTTTACACGGCCGTTCCACGAATCACACACACATATACACATACACATATACACACGCGCGCGCGTATAAAGCGATATTTTAATATGAAAGGGAGAGAAAATAAGAAAGATGAATGAGAATTGTGTATTTCGTATTTACGATATTATATAGGTCGTTGGGCTTCGCGAGGGACCGACGACTTGTCAACGGTAGTATTTAAGCGACATAGCTATTAAGACGAGGAACGGGACGCAAACAATTTGTGAAAGAGTGAACGAGGACTTTTCAAATAGATTATCGATATAGAATCCTGAGAGTGATCCCTTCCAGCAAAGAAAGATTAATTGACCGTGGTTATACAAGAATGATCCAACCCACGTGGATCCAACTTACATTTCGAAAGAAATGAAAAGATGAGAATCTGATATGAAATGAAAAGATGGGAATTTGATGGTTTAAAATTGAAGTTTAAGAAATATGTAGCCAGTTCTTCGCAATCGTTCAAGAAGTCAAGCATGGTCGGTTCATTGACAAGCTTAACTTAAAAAGACATGGGTAAAAGAAACGTAACCAGTAAAAAATTGCACAACTAGTGGAAAATAAAAACTATTTTTTAAGACCCATAAAGCGTTCGGATCTTCTTTGTTTTGTAGAAAAATGTATGAACTACTCATTGGTGAGAAAAACTCGAAAATCGTAATTTTGTGAACTGGATTATTCTTGCATAACTATGGCCAATTCAGAGGATGAAACAAGAAAAAAAGGAATGAAAGAAAGATAAGAGTCAAATATAGAGATTTTTAGCTGATAACAATCAGCATTCCACTTATATATTATATACGAGATCGCGAGGTTTAGAACTTTGCCATTCTGCATTCTTACGAACTTCCGACGAGTCTTGGAAAATTCTACCTGGTTCTACCGATTATACTCTCACGAGATTTTAATCGTTATAAATTAGGTCGCATCGTATCGATCTAGAGTCTCTACATTGCGCAATCCAATTGCAACATATACTTTAACGTTGTCTCCGATACCTATTGGCGTAAAATCGTTGTGGACTTTTCAACTTGGACGTTCTTGTTGACTCTTAAATATTACAGGACGAATCTCTACATTTAGTCTTAAATGTACACATAAATTCACACTTAGCCGACGATGCCTACTCCCCCTATCCTCCCGTACTTCGAGAACGAAATATACGATCGATTCGGTTTTTCCCATGCATCCCCGTGTGTATCGGAAAATATCCGATTCGAATGAATGTCATAGTGATTTTTCGATGACACCCGTTGCCGCAGTTTTATTTTCGAGGGACAACGCGCGTACCTACATCGGATCGTTTGGAGGGCAGACTCCAGATGAAGAGCACGTCTCGTGCTTCCACTTGTCCATACAGCTGTGCAACGGGTGTTCGTCGAATTAAACACAGCCGGTTACACATCCAGTGCTGGTTTTCTCGTTGGCCTCAGTTCTCGTTATTATTACTCCACGATATTGTTCGGACAATACACACACACACACACGAACACGCACGCACACACAACACACACATACGCACACACGCACACACGTTTAAACGACAGGTATTCCCGCACCGTGCATCTTAAAAGCCGATTTTTCGCATCCTCTGCATTATAAACGAAACGAAGAGAAATAAAGCAAGGGTAGTGGACATCGGAGATCCTTATTTGGTGAAATCCCAGATGCTTATTTCTCAGTTGAATCGCGATCACAAATGTAATATCGCATATATTATATAACTCAAATAAAACAACTCAAATCTAACTTTAAATTCAAATCTATGTATTTCTCACATGAGACAAGTTTCAAATAACGGTTATTAATACGAGCCTTAAAGTGAAATCGGAATATTTTATTTGGATTATTAAGAGACACGGTAGTTTCTCGCGTCGAAGGCACGGACAACAAGAGTGACCATGTATTATTACATCGCGTTTCTAATTGAGAGGTGCCTACCCAGTAAGCAAGAAATCATTAATATAACGTTATTACAATGATATTCAAGAACCTGTTATATTGTCAAATATGTAGTGTTTAATATTGTATCGATCTCGCGCGAACATCATTATGAACATACTTTGACCGCGATTTGGGAGTTTCAATAATGTTGAAATAGGGTTGCCATAACGTTTTAATCGTCAGAAATATTTTTAAGATGTTGCATCAAATTTTAAGATGTTGATCTCAAATAAATGTTAAAGTAACATTCGAAAAATATATTTTTTGTAATGTTTTTAAAACGTTTAAACAACATTCAGAAAAATTATATCGCAAGATAACATGTGAAAAATATAAAAGCAATATTATTAAAAAATGTCCAAACAATGCACATGAAGTCAACGTTTCTAAATGTTAATTTATTGTTCCCTGCTTACTGGGTAGATAATCGTTTCGACATAACGGCTGATCAGATTGAATTTTAAGTAGGCTTAATCGATTCATCGTGACCCAATTACATAATACATACGGAAAACTGACCCTAAATGCTCCATAAGCTAAGTTATTCCATCTCAAAGTAAAAGAAGAGCAAAATTTTACATTAAGATACGTCGTCGTCGTTTTTCAAAACGATTTTACAAAACGATTTGCAAATTTAAAGTAACGTCCATTATAATACTTAGCCTAAAAGACGCCTAAAAGACGATTTATCCTTTTTAGATATTTCTTTAGCGCGTATTTACATCGTAATTGAGAAGTTTGTGCTATTTGGGACTCGAATGGCGATTCGAAAAACAAAGGGTCGATACTCGATATCGCGCGATGTATCGATGTTCAACTTTAATTTCGGAGACATGCGCGCGTTGGATTACCGACAGTCGGAAATGTGTGTATACGAGTTGCCGCTTCGGCAAGTGACGTCCGATGGCGTCGAGTGGCGTCGCATGGCGTCGCATGGCGCCGGTTGACGTTGATCGTATCGAGCGCGTCACATTGGCCCGGCGGAGATAATGCTTATCGATCCGTCATTTGTTTGCGGATATTTTTACTCTCTCGTGCAAAAGCCATCTCCCGTCGCCACCCACAGCGCACAGCCGACGAACTTGACGATAAAAGGTACGTCGAATGTAAGAGAAAGAGAGAGATGGAAAGTTCTCTTGATGGAAAAGCTCGCTCGACCGATCTCGCGCGAAATATTCGTCAAAAGCATTTTTTCGTTTTCACGACGACGGCGATGTACGATTGCTCGCGTGTTCGTCCTCATTTTCAACTTGATAATTAGCTATAATGGCTGATAAGGCTAAAACAGTTTAAGCAAATAGTAGTAATACACGCTTCTCGGGCGCGCAGCACATCCCAGCAAATAAGATGACGTCAAATGACGTCTTAATGACGTCCTAACGTCAATAATACGTCATTCAGACATTATTTGACGTCATCTTGTTTGCTGGGATGCTCGCTCGCGTGAAATTTCAAGATTTCGCGAAATTTTTGGCAAGGAATCTTTTGACCTCTTCAAATGCGGACGGATTTTCATCGGTCCGGAGCCGACATTAACGATCTCATAAATCTCTACTAGCTAATCATAGAACTTGGTGGACAAAGTAGAAGCTTGAACGCTCTGATAATCCTTAGAATACTGCGTATATGTTTGATTAGCGTGAACAGTCATTGTGACCTGCGGGCATATAAAATAGGGGCGATTAGCTACGCGTTGCTGCGTACTCTGATCTGCAATGTGCTTTTTGCTTCCTGTTTCTTGTTCTCTACTTTTTCTAATTTAAAACTTAAGCTTGATCTACAATGTGTTCTTTGCTTTCTGTTTCTTTCTCTTGATCTCTTTCTAACTTAAACCTTAAGCCAATAGAAAATAGAGAACAAAAAACAGAAAGTAAAGAGCATATTGTAGATTAACTTTTAAGGTTTGAGACAAGATAAGATAAAAGAGGGAAACACGAAGCAAAGAATAGATCTGGCAACTTGAAGCAAAGAATAGATCATATTATAGATCTGGGCTAAAGTTCAACTAACCCCGAGTCGATCAAAATCTGTGTATTTGAAAACGTTACTTGCTTTGCACGCCTTTTCGTGTGTGTTGTCGAGAATGCGCGACATTCTTCTTGCATTTCATTCATCTAGAATCTCTCGAATAAGAGCCTAAACGCTTTTGATTTTTTTATCGAAAATGCTCGCATTTGTTCGACGTACCGAAGATGTCTCAGCAAACACAATGTTACATGTAACGTACATGTTAGTTGTAATTTCCTACTCAACAATATAACTGTTACATAACACGCATGTTATATAACAGTTATATTGTTGAGTAGGAAATTACAACATGTACGTTACATGTAACATTGTGTTTGCTGGGGTTGATTCGTCTCGATTCAAGTTAACCTTCACAAAAGAAATTTTCCTTTACATTTATTTATAATATTATTAATAAAAATAGATTTTTTAATTTCTAAAAAATTAAGATGTATAATTATTATAAAATAGCGATTGCTTCTGCAATCTCTGGAGTTGTGCAGAATCTCTTTATGATCCTCCGCTATTTTCGATCAAACTACATCAATCTTTAAGAAGTCAAAGACTTTTATTCGATGGATTCTACATTTATCGAACGGTGCCGAAATATACGCGTACGATTCCATCAGCGATGCTATCGGCGTCTCGCGTAACCTTGCGTCGTGGCCAACACCCAGCGGCTTTATCGACTTATCTCATCGCGCGTTTTTTGCCGCTATTGTTACATGTGATGTTGCGAGGCGCTAGAAAGAGGCGAGTCGAGGAAGGGTTAGACGAAACGACGAGAGAGGACCAGTGTGCAAAGATCGCGGGTTAAATACCGGAACGATGGAGGTCCTCCGACGCGCATGCGTCAGTGACGTCAGTGACGGACATATGACCGACTTCAACAGACTCGTACTTACGACTACACTTTCTCCGTGGCATACGAAATGTTTACATCTTTTCTTGCTAGAATTTAGTTATAATGACATGATCTGTGGAAACAAAGTATATCAAACACTATGGCGGCTATGTGCCGTCAATTTATTGTACAAGCAGAAGCAAATTTACAGAGATATCTTGTGGCGACTTTGACGTAACGTGTTTTTATTATTGTTTACTTTTTCCCGCGAGGGGCATGTGAAGTATTTACGCTACTGAGGTGTGTTCATATTCACGCTACCGCGCATACGAGGTACGATTTGCCCGCGATCTTTTCGCGCTGGGCGAGAGACAAGGTCGGACGAGACTCGTCGAAACGAGACGAGACAGAGGCGAGGCGATGCGAGGCAAGGCGAGGCGAGGCAAAGCGAGCGCAAAACGTTGTTCGACGAGACCAGACGGGACGAGACGAGGCGCGACGCGGCGCGGCTAACACGCGCGCTTCGTCAGAGTGGGAGGTCAGGTGCGGCGAGATCCTTTCCTATGACGTGATACGAGGCCCCTGAACCTCAACTCTCTCAGTGTACCGGGTGTCCTCAAGCGAGGTGGTCGCGACGCTTGTTAACCTGCTCAGCCGCACAGTTCTGCGAAAACGACGGAAAAAAGCCAGAGATCGGATGCACGAAATTGTTTCTGTGAACGGACGACGGCGAAGCGACGCGCTCCTTCCTCCAACGACGGCCGTGTTGGATCACGCAAGATTTTTGCCACCGACAATACGCAGCGCGAGCTGCTGCCTGGTAAGTAGAACGTAAACGCGACGCGCAGCCTGACGCGTCGCACGCACGCTAATTTCCCTTTCTTTGTTTTTCTCATCTTTCGCGTCTCCACTGGTCTGTTTTGTCTCTTTTCTTTTTCGGCAGTGTGGATTGGTGAAGTAGCACTTGCAACGCGTTGTCGAGGATCACGAGATGACAATCAAATTCGTACTCACAGAGGAAAAGTGCCGAAACTAACGTGGATCTCTTGAACAAACATATCGATGTGTTTTCATAAATTGAAGGTCGTATTTTATCGAAATTGAAACACGATATTTTTAGTAGTATCGAGTTGCTCAAAAATCATAATTTATGCGCGGAGAAAAAGAATTGAATTAACGTGACAATGAATTAACTTCCTAATCTAACACATTTTCATTGAAGGAAACAATTTCTGGCCCTTAGAATCGAATTTGATTCATAAGAAACGTGTTTGATTCGTTCACTGTTATCTTAATTCACTGAATATTTTTTACTCCGTGTATATTTCTTGCACACACGTGCACTAAATTAATTAATCCCGACTTCTTGAAATTGATAAGTTATCTAAACTTCCTAAAGAAAGTCTCTGTGATATGTATTTGTTCAAGTAAATTTTTATCTTGAAGCTCAAAGAAATAGAATCCAGTGACGCCTCTCCTCCGCTATTAATAATTGACGTTATTATTATATCAATTATTATTATTACGTTAGTGATTATTAGTAGTTGATTGATTAGTAGTTGATACATTAGTAGTTATTGGTTAGTTATCATTGTTATCACATTGTTATTATTAATAATTTCGTTCGTCACCGCGCGCTTTTTTCGCGCTGCTTCAGCCGTCGCTTGACCTGCACGAAAATGCCCTTTCATTTTAAGCGATGATGTTGCTCGCGCGCTAAATCTGTAAAAATATATTATATACGTTTATCAGCCTCTTTAAACGTGCGCTCTGTGATTTATCACCGTTCCGAACGGATGTGCGGTTTATCGGAAGCGCTGAATTTCGAGGGAAGTAAAATTGCGATGGCCTGCTGTGAAAATGTTTATTTATTCGTCACATGCGTTGTAAGTGATAAGTTTGACGGACACGCGCGATCGATAACATAACACGGTCATTTACTTACCTCACGTATATTCGAATTTTTTCCGATACTCTCCCCAACAGCACATGACACATGCAAGCCGAGCGCGATAGTGCGTTTTAACAATTCATTGAAAATTTACAAGCTGCATCCACCTCATCAGCTCAACAGGTAAGATAAAAGAGTCTATCGTTGAAACAAATCTTCGGCAAATTCGTCGAATAATCGATGATCATGTCGAGATTATCAAAGAGATACATTATTCATAATACAACTCGAGTCACGAATTCTTATCGCGGGTAACTTCCTGCTCGGATACTATTTACACTAATTCATTCTTTTCTTTCTCCTGATAATTCAACACACTCGCTCGAGGTTATTGATTACCTTTATCTGCAACACTTTTCATAACTTTACGTAACTTTGTGCACTTTACTCAAGTACTTAAATGTTTTAAGTGCTATTACACCTTGTCTACGTAATGATGTTGCTTTATGAATTCGTCGTCATTTCGAGTGATATTTCGAAGGTCGCACGTGTTACATAAATAGATGCGCATCACAGAAAATTTTCGACATTTTTTGCGCGCGTGCAATATCCTTCCTTTTAAAGATATTATATATTTTATCAATCTTCCCACTCTCTCTCTCTCTCTCTCTCTCTCTCTCTCTCTCTCTCTCTCTCTGTTTCTCTCTTCATTTTGCTCTCCCTTTCTTCGAGATAAAAATATACAGTCTGTTGAGAACCCGTTGACAAGTGTGTCTCAATTAAAGAACAATTAAATATATACTTACATTAAAGATTAGATTTTACTTTTTTTTCTTGAGACAGTATTCGTACCACTCAAAAAAATGTTTTGCTGCTCCAGCTCGAATTCCAATGTCAGTCTAAATTTATCGCTGTTTCTCAAATTTGCTAAAGAATTATCTGTGAAAAATTTTTTGTCCATAGAATTTATACAGCAGCAGCGTTCTAGTAATAATATATACCAGCAAATTTAGATGGACGTGAAGATTACATATCTGTTTATCTCTCGTCGTTAATCTTTTTTGTCTACCGCAGTTAATTTCGATAAGAAGAGCGACTTGCTCTAATCTCGGAATGGGCGCCACCGACAGAAACTTTCCCATGTCAAATTCCATAAGTAAATTTCTCGTATCTGGATAATCTTCGTGTTGACTGCAAGAGCATTTTTTTGAGTAATATTCCAGGCGCGCAGAATTACCTGCGAAATATGTACGTGCTCGTTTCGTACGCATGTACCATCGATATAAGCGCAGACAACGTCCCGTCGTATCGATTCGAAGCACTCGGTACACACAATTCAGCGGGCGCGTCTGTGTACGTGATTCACGACAAATTGACGAAATTCAATCTCGAAGTCTCCAATTTTTCCACCATGAGGCACCGCGATCGGAGGCCACCTATTCTCTCGAGTCGAGCGGATTCGGGCATGCAATGAGTAGGACGACGCGGCCGTGCTTCTGATGTGTATTGTTTTGTCAACATTTTTCGTCGTGATTCAAACTGGCGCGCGTAGGCGGGTTTTATCGCGAAAATTTAACATCGCAATGCTACTTCGCAGACGGACATTCACGCGGAAATCGACCGGTCGGTCTCCATGGTGATCACACCCTTCCGCCGACTCTTATATGACCCTTAACCCACCTTCGAACTCACCTCTCTCTTTCTCTCCCTTTCCTCCTTTCTCTCTTCCTCTCTGTCTGTCTTTCTGTTAGTCTGGGCAGATTGGAATGCTTGCGTAGCCTAGGTCACGATGACTATTCGGATTAATCTGTTTTCACGAGAAGAAATGATAAATACACTAACGAACATACGCAAAAAAGAAAGATAAACAATTATGTGCTGCAAATGGTTCATCTTTCATGCGCATGATGAGCGTATGACAACTGTATAAATATATATTTCGGCGTTCTCTCACCAATTTTAAAAGTGACGACGAATATCGACGATACAGATCGACGATCCCACACACGTCCCCAGATAGCAGACTCACATCAAAATGACGTCCAAATCTGGTCAGTTTATGACCAAAAATGACCAAGGAATGACCAAAAATGTCGCAAAAATGTCGTCAAAATAACGGTCTAATGTCACAGACCGATGACAACATTTTAAGACAACTTAATGACATCTCTAAACATCAATAATACGTCATTAGGACCTTGTACAGAAACGTCATTAAGACGTCACAAAAAAGACGTCTTAAAGATGTCGTTATTTAGTCACTTGACGTCAATCGACGTCAGTTATGACCAGTTATGACCAGTTTTTAATATCATTTTGACGTGAGTCTACTACTGAGGTCGCGATCATTATATTTTCTTAAGAGGTGAATTGGTAAAAATATTTCCGATTAAATCAATAAAAAAGGAGTATTTTACTGATAATCGGTAAGTGTTCGCTAATTTTCAGTGGAAATGCTTCCATTTTGCTGCTCTATCGATTATATCTCACTGATTCTGACCAGTGAAAGTAAGATTTCACTGCAAAACCTGTAATACGCAAATTTGTTACACGCTATACGAAATACTACTTTCTGCGTTCATGATAATGGAATTAACGACTTCTCCGTGCAATTTGCGTGCATATTGCTTGCGTTTGCAAACTGCATCGATAAATTTGCATTGAAATCTCAAAATTAACGAATTCAGTAAAACTTCTCATTTTTCACGAGTTTACACGAAGGAAGTATACACATGATCGATTCTTTAAAACGGAATTAAAACGTAACCGCGATCGCATTGTAGACGATCCATTAATATTTGTTTGACAGTGCGCCAAAGCGAATGTCGCGAGTGTCTCTGTGCGCGTTTATTGTTTCGAATTCCTCTTGTTTTTGGAGTGAAGTGCTAGACCTAGATTTCATCGACAGTTATAAATTAAGAGACCTTCAAATTACAGCGAAGTCATGCCAAAAGTTGCGAGAAACCATGAAACTATTCAGTCTTTATTGGTGTGATCAGACGCTCATGATGTTCACCTTGGCGCACTGTCAAGCAAAGACTAGCCAACAGATCGTCCTATACCATCATACTTAACCTACTAAAGGAAGGTTCTAAAATACGATAATAAAGATTTGGCCAAGTTCGCGCTATATCAGGCTACATACTTTTCGAGCGATCCACGTACAGCATTTCAACGAAAAACATTGATTACACTTTAAAAAGCACATTTTCCATGAACTTGTGAGAAATGTGACGTTCGAACGATATTTCGATCTGCCTGGACGATCTTATCACACGATAACCTTCAAAGGGAATTGCGAGGAAAATCTCACGATGAAAATGACACGATGATTTTGCGCTGATGGATATCTCTCTTGCGATGCATTTATGCAATAATTTATGAGTCGGCTATTGATTTTTTGCATGTCCACGTATCGCGCTGTCCCTATTACGACGGATATTTTGATTCGATGTTTCGCAAGATCAGACTTATAAATACTGTCGCACCGAACATCAGAAGTTTTCCGCGTTACGTTGAAAGTCGATGGTTGTGCAATACAGGACTATTAATAGTTTACCGCTCAACGGACGACTTCTATCTAATAATAAAAACGTCTACTTAATGTGGCTTCCGAACTTCTAGCGGGCGTACATGCTTTGCTTGAGAAACTTTTTCTTTCGCTTCACAGTCTACGATCTTCTCGTGAATGTACTCTCGTGTGTGTGTGTGTGTATGTGTGTGTGTATGGGTAATTATACACTTTTTGCTCGAATCGTTATGGCGCATCTAAATTGCGCGACAGAAGAAAATCTAAAACGGCAAAATAAGATAGGGAAAAGTAAGCTTTCCTGCGCGAAAGCCGCAGGAATTTTTCACTGGTGAATATACGTAATATGTGTATCGAATACGAGAACACGCATACGATCTTGTTACCGTTACGTTCGACCCTCGCGAGAAAGTCAGTTACGCAAAATTCGCGAGATACGAGATATGATAATCCATCTGTCCGCCCATTGTTCGCTATCTCGGTGTTTCACAACGAGTTTTCGCGGGTTCAATAATCGTGCCACAGGCAGTCGCATCGAAACCTCAAGATAAAACGATCGCGTGATCAATTACTGCTAACGAACGTGCGATTTAACCGCGTTTCCTGTTCGTGGAATCACTTTCGCGAGGGGTTTCTTGGTATGCTACAATTGAATATCATATTAATAAATGCGATTCAGTGTAATAACGAATATATAACTCTATTCTCCAGCAATTAATACACGAATATACCACACTGATTATGTTTTCCACATTTTTCCCAGACTTTTCTCAGAATTTTTCGTTGATGTAAAAAGAGCTTATGTGAAGAAGAAAGTTTAATATTTTCTTCATGTATAGAAAAGAAGTAATTTAATACTTCCACACTGAGAATTATGATGTAACTGGCTTTTTATATATAACGCCTGGCTAGCAGGCAATCTATCGTGTTTGTCTCAATTTTAATTTAACTCAAAGGAGAAATCTTCTTCTGACATTATATTAAAGCACATGTTTGTTCTTTTGTTCATCCTTTCGCATCTCCTCAAAGACAGTTCCTTTCCTCATACTTATATCTGTAATCGCGCTTCAACCGAGAAACTCTCCTCTAACAGTGAATTCAAATCTAAGTATTTCACTCGAGACGAATTTCAAGTAATAACTATTAATACGGGTCTAAGACTCTCGTCGAGTAATGCTCGTTTCTATCAACGTCAATTAAACCTAAACATAAGTTAAAATTCCATTCAGAAGTTCTCCATTCTCAAAGACTTAAATTCAGGTTAAACTTTAATAATCGACATTGGAACGACGAACGAAACAAGAATAACACGTTCATGAAACTGTCTCATAGGACAAGCGACCTGAAGGTGCGTGTATGCTGAGTCCCGTGCAGTCGACGTTCCGTGAGTCGTTGAGGATAGTCCCGAAGGTCCTTATGGTAACCGGCGGACAAGGTGGATATCTCCCCAGCGAGATCCAAGCGCTGAAGGGCTGGCGGCGTCGTTGGATCCACTCGGCCATCACCTATATCTAGAGGAATAATGGACAGCGGGAATGAGAGTTCCCTGCAGGAGATTAGGGAAGTGGATCGCGGGGGCGGCCACCACAGGAACGGAAATAACAACAACAACAAGCGAAACGGCAACAACAATCATTACGATCGCTCGGCGTGGAGCCAGAACAACTTCCAGCCGCAGAAAGCGCCGTTAGTCGGCTGGCGAAACGGAAGTCCCACGATATGTCCGAGTTCCGTCCAGAATAGTGCCTATGCCGAGCTCGTCAAACTCGACCCAACGCACGAAGAGGAGCTGATTGACGTGATCACGCAGATTGACAGCTCGGAACGGAGCGCATCGAACAACAATCGAGAAGCTTCGCATGTTCACGAGAGTCAACCCGAGCTGGAAACCGATAAGCCTTCAAATGAACGAGCCTGGGATTCTATCGATTCCAAGAGCCTTTACAAACAGGAGAACGACTGCTCTATTGCGAAAGAGGAGAAAGAACGTAAGAAACCAAAAGTGCCGGACGGCGGCTGGGGCTGGATGGTCGTGTTGGCGTCCTTGGTCATTTCCATGATAGCTGATGGCATCTCCTTCAGCTTTGGCCTGCTTTACATCGAATTCCTCCACGAGTTCGGCGCCTCCAAGTCCAAGACCGCTTGGATCGGCTCGCTCTTCATGGCAGTGCCTCTCTTGTCGGGTCCAATCATGTCTGCCCTCGTGGACCGCTATGGGTGTCGAAAGATGACCATTGCCGGTGGTTTGATATCAGGATTGGGCTTTATACTGAGTAGCTTCGCAAACAGCATCGAAATGATGTACTTGACTTTTGGCGTGATCGCCGGTCTTGGTTTAGGCTTATGCTACGTCACCGCGGTCGTCAGTATCGCCTATTGGTTTGATAAGAAGCGTACTTTGGCTGTGGGTCTTGGAGCCTGCGGCACTGGTATCGGCACCTTCGTCTACGCCCCGATGACCACGTACTTCATCAAGGAGTACGGCTGGCGAGGTACCTGTCTGCTTCTGGCTGGCACATTTTTCAACATGATCGTTGCTGGGGCCGTGATGAAAGACCCGGAATGGTGGATACTGGAGCAACGCAAGCACGATCAAACCGCGCCAAAGAGATCCCACGGTAAATCCGACGACACCAAGTCGGAAGTGAGTCCGTCAGACGAGTTCCCGGGTGTCGACGAGCTCCGGAAATTGCTTAGAAGCGACCATGTGCCCGAATATTTCGTCCAGAGCCTGAACACCACCACAGCGGCGGCCGTTGGCGGCACACAGGGAAAGACGTGCTTTAGAAGCGTAGTGAATCTACCGACTTTCGTGAAGAGGAGCGAGAAGGTGAATAAGCGATCCATATTCTTCTTTTTGACGCATCTATATTTTTATTTAATACTAATAAAACTTTTCCAGTTCTCACAATTTTTACAAATAAATACATTTTTTAGTTTGCCAGTAAATAAATAAACTTGTAAATTTGTTCCCTCTTGAGATTTCAGGTGCCTTTGGAAACATTAGAGCTGTTACTGTCCAATTCTAGACTCTATACCGTCATCTTGGAGAATTATCCCAGTCTTCTATTGTGTAGAAGTTCGTCCGATAAACAGTTGCACGACTCGACCGGGGAGATACCTAATAAAAGCGGTATCACCATGTCCATGAGGTTGGTTGTTAATTATACAAAGTGTCTGACGCAAAATATCTCATATCTCTTGTACATTGATTAGGTAAAACTGAATACAAGATTTCTCTACCATTTTGCAAACGACTATGTCAGCGTCAGACATCCTGCACGATCATATTACAGATTTTAGCCAGAACTTACTACCGAGACTTTTGTATATCTCTTATGTCTTCTCTCAAAGCTTCTGTCAGGCACTCGACATATTACAACCACTGTGTTACATCACATAATTATCTTTTACGAAGGCTTAAACGAGCGACAGAGTCACGAACGATCACCGAGCAAACTAAAGACTCTCATTCATCGCCTGTTCATGTCTCGATAAAACCTATCAGGAAGATAACTAGGAAGGAGTCGGAGGAGAATGATCCCTTGGTGACAAAAGAAGTGATGCATACAGTAACAAAGAACAATTTTTATCTTTTCCTAATCACTGATCGCGTACGCATCATCACGATGTATCATGTAAGAATGTTGCAGGTCCTAACAGTGGAAAAACCAAAATCCGCATTGAAACGTAACGGCATCGGGAATGATGCCGGCGTTATCAGGACAGATTCGTTGCCGTGGCTCAGACGACAATTTAGTACCAACACTCATTACTTCAAGGATATCAGAGTACATAGGAATTCCGTTATGTATCGCGGCGCCGTTCTGAACCTGCGAAAATACAGGCTGAGAGCGAGCAGTTGTCCAGATATCTATACAAACAGTATGATCACTTTGGCTAAGGAAAATGAGCAGGTAATATTCGTGAAATATTCGAGAGAAGAAGTTTACGAAATAACGAATGTAATATCGCTCTAAACGAAAATTAATATGAAAACTGAAGTAAAAAGATTGGAAGGAATACCAATAAGAGTCCAATCGTCGTTCTTTTGCGTGACTGCCAAATAGAATTACTTTTGCAATATAAAATGTGTATGTATGTGTGAAACCAATTAATAAGTCAATCAATAGTTTATTTATCTTGGTATGAGAAAGGGAAATTTAATATTATCTTAATTAGGAATTAAAAAATAGTTTGAGCAAAGAAGGTAGTTTAAGCTTCACCGCGAGAGAAGGCTAATTCGACGCGTGCGCTATGACTTGTTTCAAACAACGAGATCATCTCGTAAACAATTTTATTTAACAGTCGCACCAAAGAACCACGATTGAGTTTTTACTGGCCATACTCTTTACACTTTAAATTCTACAGAGAGCCTTTATATAGATTCAAGTTTAAGACGAAAAATTTCTGATGATATACAATCAAATATTGTAATTGGATTGTAATAAATCTCTTTGCTCTTGATAGAAATGGTACGATGAGTTTGTGGAACTACTGAAGGGCATGTTGGACTTCTCCATGTTCGCCGAACTGCACTTCCTGCTGCTATCGTTATCGACGATATTGTTATTCACCTGGTTTATCATACCGTACTTCTATCTAGCAGAGCATCTCACCAGAAACGGTTACGACGAGTCTGATGGCGCTAATCTCCTCAGTATCATCGGTATAACTAATACAATTGGAATGGTAATCTTAGATCACGTTGCAGTTACGTTTTAAAAAAACGAGTTACGAATCTTTTCACACGTCCGACGCTGTTGTTTTCAGGTCGCGCTGGGTTGGGCCGGAGATCAATCGTGGATGAACGTCAGCAAGACGTACACGTGGTGTCTGATAGCTTGCGGTGTGGCGACTGTACTGATGTCCTTGTTCACGTATCACTACACATTTCTAGTCGCTAGTTCGGCAGCTTTTGGCCTCTTCTTTGCCAGCAATTTCAGCTTCACGCCTGTTATACTGGTGCAGCTGATTCCCTTGGAGAGATTTACTACCGCTTACGGCCTGACTTTGCTGTGTCAAGGTATCGGCAACCTTCTCGGACCTCCGTTGGCTGGATGGCTCTTCGACGTGACCGGCTCATGGAATCTGTCTTTTTTCATGGCTGGCGGCTGGATAATTTTTTCCGGAATTTTAATTGGCATTGTACCGTACACGAAAAATCAAAAAATTTGCGGCAACGGACCGGTCGAGATGGAGCGAACGAACGGTAGTGATAGTTTGGCCTAAAACCAAATATATTTACTACGTTTAAATGCGCAAGCACTATTGCTTAAATGCTGGCACAAAACGGATATTTATTCAGGCAAATTTTTACTTAACCTATGAATCTCATGATCATATAGAATGCAAACAATGATGCATATAAAATATACATATAGAATTCCCTATATAATGAAATTTTGGACATTTCTACATAATGTGTCTTTCTGCATACAATATACTTTTAATGATATTTTCCTCGTACTTAAATCTCATTCACGGTTCATATGTTGGATAGTTCTATTAATCATACAAAAAATGAAACATTTAAGACATATAGGATTGCATAAATTTTACATACAAATATTTTGTATATTTTAATTACGATTTTTACATGTCAACCTCGTATATCAAATCTAAATTTGTGATGTAAATATTGAATAATAGTATTTCACATTGACTATCTCATTTTACAAATTTGGGATTAATTCTAATTGAATAAAAAAACTATAGAAGCATTATTTCTAATAACGAACAAATAAAGAGTTACTAATGACATAGGCTCTTATTATAAAGCAGGATTTAAAGAGACACAGGAAGAGAGAAAGAGAGAAAACAGAAAAATATATTTTCTAATTGAAAAGAATGTACGGAAAAATTTATTTTCACGTGGAATAATGTAAAACGCTTAAATACACTGGCACCTTTTAACTTAACAAAAATGATATCGACGAATTGTAATGATATTCGTTTTCTATACAACTAACCCAAAGCAGCACACGATATCCCATGGGCGTTCTGTGGATGTCTTTAGGACATTCGGACGTCCGAGGAGATTTGTGCTGTCTGGGTAAGCGTCAAAGGCACAAGTGTGTTTATTGTTCCGCGTGTTGTCCGTCGCACAAAAGGTTTTTTACAACTTTCTAAACGAAACAGCTTTTGTTGTTGACATTGTTAATCTAAAGATTAGATGAGTAGCTAACTAATAAACGGTTTACAGGAATCATCTCAGTGTCTCATTTGCGGCACGCATTCAACAATATCGAATTGATCGAGCGAAAGTACGTACGTTTAAGTCACATTCAAAGGTCGAAGTGCGAAACAATCCCAAGGATGTATTGCACGTTACAACACAGCGATGTGACATTAAATACCACGACACAAAGATACATAGCATACGTCTCGCAACATCAATATCTCATTTGAAATTCTAATGTCGTTCAGGTATTTGTCGCCCGGCGACCCATAGAAGGAGGAGGGCGTACTAGAGGTGGCGGCGGGACGCCGTGCATTCGAGATCCACGTATCTTTTCGTTCCAGAGAGAGAAAAATATTGAGAGCGCGGTTTTGCTAAAAATATCGGTTTTGCTAAAAATACCGGAACTCGAACCCGGGTCTTTCGCTTGCCGAGCGACTGCTCTACTACTACTGAACTACCTGACACTCCACGCTTACGACTCTTCTCTCCCTAGATAATGCTTAGAGATGCCGTTCGGAAGCGAAATCTCTGGCGCGATCCTGAGCGCACGGCGACTACAGAAAGAAACAATGTTACTGTATCAAATGGTACAGCTGTCAGTCTCTCAAAGTCAAAGGTTGCTATCTTTTAAGACCTGCTGTCCATGTATGCCCGTCTCCACCGTCGCCCCTCCTTATCCGGTGCAAATAATACAAATAAGCCCCGGGGTCGACACAAATTTTTTGGCAGGCCCCGGACTTGGACACAATGCGCCATGGGGGATCCACCATAGAAGGAGGAGGGCGTACTAGGTAGCGGCGGGACGCCGTGCGTTCGAGATTTACGTATCTTTTCGTTCCAGAGAGAGAAAAATATCGAGAGCGCGGTTTTGCTAGGTCGAACCCGAGTCTTTCGCTGTCCGAGGATAAATAGAAGGAGAAGTTGCGTAGACGCATGCGCGTCCTCGAACATAAGATTATTATATTTAAAAAGTGATCTGATGCTGTTCGTCGAGCCTACAACCACACACACACACACACACACACACACACACACACACACGCAACACGCGCGCGTGCATACACACACGCATGTATTTTCTTTTAGATAAATACATTGACTTTAAATATCAACCAGCAGCTGGCGGATAATCGATTACTAATCGGCTGTTACTCGAGAGAACGAAGTTCGTTGAGGGAGAAGTCGACACGGAAAAATCCAAAGTCCAATCGATGACTTTAAGTTTCTTCTTCACGTCGAGTTACATGCTGTATTAATATCCCGGCGACGTTGTCGGACTGAGCGGACTAGGACTTGGACTTCGACTGGGAACTCGCGAGACGCCCAGAATGGTAGCGAGGTTTTGCACGCTTTTCGGGAACGTTCGCGCGATGACAAAGTGATGAGGACCGATCAGCGCGTCTCCCATTATGCCGAGGCGCACTGCGTTTCCATGCTTGTGCAAAGTTATAGACATATCTGCAAATAAAAAAAAGATATATACGCACCTAGACAGCATAAACTTCTAAAAAAATCTGAAAGATTTTGATGTCTTTTAAAAAAATAAAATATGTTTGAAATGTCTTTAAGACGTTTCTTAGACGCTTCTTTAAGACATCTTCTAAAACTGTACTATCTAGGTGAAACATACGTTACAACTGAACAGATATGTACGATGTATACGTAGTCGATAATAAGAAAAACAAGATGATAGAGTCACCGCAAACAAAATAGCCGAGTTTTACACTTTTAAAAGCGTAAACATTGAAACCGTTTTGTTCACAACGGTCTCATAGATAATCAAATAATCGAATGTACTGCAGTTTCCTTGCGGTGGTCGCCAGTAGACTGCGGTATCCACGCCCTCGACAGGTAAGTCCCCGTCCACGTGCGTCAAGCAGAGGGAATATCTTCTGGAGAGTTGGTTGAGCAGTAACTTCAGGAGGATGGAGGGCACACACGACGCGATCAGTCCGTGAGACGTTTCCGCTGCCGTGATGGCGTAGATCGCGCTCTGCCTGGACCTGGCGTCTTGAACGTTCCGTTGAATGATCTTGGGAGAACAAGTGCATTGAGAAAATCCGCTATTATTCCCACTCTCTCTCGGCGATTATTCTCACCTGCAGTATCTCAATGAGATCATCGTTGAATAACGGCGTCTTGGTGGGTAACGCGAGGCACAGAATACCCCGAGCCTCGTGATTCCGCAAGAAGATGGCACGCTGACTCACGAACTTCACGGTCGTGAACACGTCGCTTGGTATGCTAACGGTCGAATGCCTGAAGTATTCTTTCAGGGCGTCCACGGTGGCCGTCAAGAGGATCTCCGCTTCGGTCGTGCCAACCACATTGGCGATCTTGCGGACGAGGTCGATATCGACCTCTTCCGACCAGGCTACCACCTTCCTGCCGCACGGCGAGATGGTCTGCAGTTGATTCGACTGCGGATGCTTTAGGAACAACTCCTCGAGGACGATTTTAGGCGCTGTCACGGCTATCCAAGTGATCGACACCGCCTCCCGGATCGCTTGGAACGTCAAAGGAAGGTAACACCATAATGTATACGTCAAAGTCTCCGGATAGCAATGCTTGCGCTGCGAGTTCAAAGCTTGTAGCTCTCGCAGAAGTAGAATGGGCGTTTTCAGTAACGACGTGATCGTGATATACCAGGACCACGCGACGAGCGAGTAAAACATGTCGATTGGATTGAAGGTTTTCGTGACGGAGTCGAGGACCATCTGAGGATGGAAATTCCGCTTGCTCGACTCGCGGCGAATAATCGATAGGAGCTCCAGGAACTTCAGGCCCTCTGACTTTCGGCACTGTCTAGAGAAAGTTGCGAAACAAGTTACCACTCGAAGTTTTCAGTGATTACGTGACGTCAATCGCTTATACTTGCTCTTAAGCATTTGTTTATTCGAGCGTAAGCGATCCTCTTAACGTTCTTCTCTTCAAGTGTCAGATGATATTTTAAACGATACATCGTTTAAAATGATTTCTTCTATGTTTGATTTCTTATCGAAAGTGCATTATTTAATATTTAATTACGCAAAAAATTATGAAACATTTCTTATAGAAGTCGAATAAAGAAAAAAAGAACCAGAGAAACGATTATCCTCCAATGACAAGGGAACAAACCGGATACCTGGCCATCTCCTTCAGAATGCAGACCAACACTATCACCGCGATTTTGCTACACTGAAACAGCCCTATCCGCTTCTTAAAGATCTCCGGTCGCTCGGTGGGATCGTTATTGCACAGAAAATCATTCCAATAATTGCTGAAACTCTCAATCAACATCTGCCTGAGACGCGGTAAAGCGGAGGGCGCGGTGTACAAGTTTGTGAAGGGTGAGTTGCTCTCTTGGCATGTCCAATTGTCCGTGGAGTACTTCAGCGGCAAAAAGTCCGCCAAAGTCAGATGCTCCTGCCGCAGCAGCAAGTGATGCACTCGCACCAGACATACTTGACGTTCCTCTCCGCGTATGAGGCAATTCACTACGTGCACTTGCCACGGCGACAGCCTCGTCGGCAGGAACTTGGACGTGACGTCGCTTACGTAATCCTATGACAAAGTAATCGCGCGTCACTACCCGGACTGCACAAATTTCAAAAAGATGTTTAAAAACTATCTAAGAAAAGTAGGACGTCCTTCACGTGGAGAGAATTTTTAGAATAGTTAGAATTACTGTAAAATTTTGTAACTGAAGAACACATCTATTCTCTACCTTCATTTCTTCTATTATATTCTAGGAACTATTCTAGGAACTAGTCTATTATAAAAACGTTTGTTGTATACGTTTCTTAACAAGATAAACTGGCAGTTTTCTATTTCTGTACTATTGGAATGAATTCTTGGAAAGAATCTGTATAAAAGAAGATATAATATTTCCTCATTGTAAAACGTTCTTTAGAAATAAGCACTATCCAAGGTATAGATTCGAAAGCATCAATTTCGAATCGTAGGAGGGTAACGGTTGACTGACCTGTATGTTGCTCTCGGTGATGGGACGACCGCGATACGAGCACGGCGACTTTATGAGATGACTATCGACGGAGAAGTAGTCGAGCTCTTTCCACACGTACACACCCCATCGCGTGAACAGACTCGACCTGAGGAATCTCCTGGTGGAAGTGAGACGCGCCAGGTGATTCCTCGCTCCGTCCGCGATCGAGCATCCTTGCACGAGGAGTGTGTAGATACCCTGCGTCATCGTCGTGATCGGTCAAAATCGTTGGCGCTAACCAGGAATAGAGCAAATTGGACGCAGTGGACGGAGCTCCCCAGCTCCGTCAGTGTCGCCGATACCTACGTGATTTCGCCCTTGATCCAATATGCTGCGGATACTGTTGCCTTCCACCACGACATAATTCGGATACCTCCACTTCACGAAGCGTATCCAACATTTTCTCGCCCACTTCACCACTTAAACACATATCAGAATGTATTGCGGCGAAGAATTCGCCGACGTCGGAATCTTTATTCTCTTTCTTTTTATACGCGATTACGAATTATGAATTAGTGAAAATTAGAAGCGCAATGGAATCATCGATATTACAGTAATATTTTCATAATAATAATCCCGGTCTTGGTATGTGAGATCGAGATGATTTCAATTTCTAAACTGAATCGCGCACGCCAATGGCTCGTTGTCCGTAGCGCGTCTACCGGCTATTCGAGAAATCGAAGGTACAAAGTCCCTTATCGAAGATAATTACCTAAATACGCGATAAAGAGGAGCGGGATCAAGAGTATGGTTAGCACGAGACTGAGGCCGAAATTCACCATCGAGGAGATACCGACGTCGACCATGACCTGCCTCACGACACGGTATTCCTCAGCTGTATTTCGCTAGACGAGGTACCTCGACGAGGAGCCACGAACCGGAAGTGAGTCGCACCCTTCTTGCGATTTTCGGCAGCCCGCTGCCCGGTGATGTAAGCTGGCTTGCACGCAGTGCAAGCCGCGACATCCGCGTTCGTACTGCGGCTCGCCCGACGATTATATTCCGAATCTGACCTTACGACCCCGTTGCAAAAGGACCACGCTAGTGAGATATTGCTCTTGCATCTGCCGACGCCGCCGTCGTCATGCTTGTCAGCGAGAGATGCGAGTTATCATTAACAACAAGTGATCGTGACACGAAAGAACGAAAGGGAGAGGGGAGAAAGGAGATAATGTCGGTCCGGGATCACACATTTGCGAATGAACACGGATGTTGGGCCGAACACAAGGAGATACCGTTCCGCTTAAACATTGTACCGACACACGCATTTAAGTATACTCTGAGATATATTTGAAAAAATGAAATTTTCACTACATTCCATACGCGCGCGCGTTAAATTCGCGTTAAAAATCTGACCTTTCTCCTTGCATTTCATCCGTGATTTCTTCGCCGAGCTGATAATGTCAGGCTAATTTGTTTGTAGCCGTTATTAACCATTAAAAACAATGTTTCCCGCAGAGCAGGCAGAAATATATTATTTGCTGATAAAAGACTGACGCATTGATGAGATTGTTAAGAGCGCACACAGTCACGAATCAATTCTCATATTTGTCGAACTTATCTGGTAATAATTGAAGAACACCAACACAAACGATCGTATATACTTGAAAGTCTGCGGGAGTCATAGTAGAGACCTCTGGTGGAGAGTCGCAACATAGGCAAAGGTGTTTCTCGTTTTTTGAGCGAATTGAAATGATAATTACATTGTAATTATAATATTTATAATTGCTTTCATTACAGTACATAGCGTTTTTTGGGAAAAAATATCAAAATCAAAACTAGGTAATTTATTTGAATGAGCAGTGTATGAAAAAGGCAGTACGAGAATCGATATATTTTAATTCATTATAAATTTTTAAAGGCCTAATTGCTAAATTCGGCTTTGTATTGAACATTCGAAGGAAGACTGTAAAACTAGTCTGGTAAGCAAATATAACGTCTGCGGGTCAAAATATAAAAAATTGCGGATGATACGGAAAATATAGCCAAGTTGCTTTAACTTCCAGTTGTTGTATTCGCGCGAGCGATGCATTAATATTCATGTATAAACATACAATTACGCACACAGGACGATGTGCTTTCATCGCAACTCCCAAAGTCATATCAGGATTTACTTTCTACAAATCCTTGGTTCTACAAATTTGGTTTCTACAAATCCTTAATATATATAAAAACTTTATTGTTGATTATTATTGATAGAAATAACGTTAGAGAAATAAATGAAGAAGTATTATAATTTGAAAGAAAATTATATATATGACGTTAGAGATAGTGGCGGCTCGTAGCGGAAATTTCGAAACTAATAAAAATAAATGTCTAGCTAACGGGTAATTTAGTTGAGACTTGAACCCTATTTAGCTGAGACTCAAACTAAATCGAGACTCAATTAGGAGCAGATATTTTCACGGCACCGTTAGATGACGCCAGGCGACCAATCATTCGTTTGAACAAGTATAACGGAGATTGGCTATTTCAAAGTGTAATTTTATCAAACCGCCATTGCTTGCCCCGCCAAGTAGTCGAGGACGTAGTCAAATATTGGGCCAGATGTCCTTTTTATCTTTAAATATTGCGACGAAATGACAGATAAAAGGGATCTTTCTCTTAAAGTTGTAACGGACGAATTTTTATTCTTCAATAAAAGCCATACCACAATGGGTTAGATCGACTTTTGCTATTGGGAAATAAAAGTTAAAACTATTTGTTATTAGGAAATAAAAGTTCGTCTTATTTGTTGTTTGAATCGTACTATTGAAAAATAAGTGAAACTTCGAGTAGGAGAGACTTCAATTTAAACGAAGCGTAAATATCGTATAGTTTTCTCTTAGTATCGTTTCTTCCTATGCAACATTTTCTTTGTATACACCACTACCTGTCGAGTGACATTCATATGTCAATAACAAATAGTATTGTCACTGATATAAAGTTTCGACTGTCAGCACTCTTTGCAATTACTAGTACGAAGACGAAAGGCGTGAGAAAGAATCTCGAAAAAACGAGACAAGATGTTTCTACGAAACATCCGCTTTGAAATACTTGAGAGACAACACCGAGTAATACACAAACATTCCTATGACGTTGAGACATCGTCTATTTGGCGACTTACAAGACATTTTTGTGACTTTAGAGACTTTTCCAACCTCTTGGTAAGTTGACTAACAGCTAAATCATACGTCTATCTTTGTCTAATGTGACAGAAAGACAAAGACAGACGTATGATTTAAGTGTTAGCCAGCTGACAAAGAGGTTGGAAAAGTCGATTCTAGGTCGCCCTTTAGACGCCCTCATCTTCTCCAGCGTCAAGTGTTGGTCTCAAAGGCTACGTATAAAAGCATCTTATCCGTTACTGACGCGAGAACGGTGCAGTGGTTGATCGTTTGGCGCAGCCGCAGGTGAGATGGCGCTGGCGCCTTGGAGAACTGTCTCAGTGAAAATGGAGCCGCTCGAGTGAAGGTGGGTGATTCTGTGCGCGCGTGAGCCCGGAAAGTGCTATTATTCGGAGATGTGGCAGGATCTGGGCGGTCTGAGCGGCGTAGGAGTGAATTCCGGTGCTCATCAGGTCGAATTCGGAACGGCAGGTGAGAGATTCCGCGGCGAACTCGCGTCCGTAGCGCGTACGTCAAGTCTGGCGTACCAAAGCGGAGTCCTCCTCGGCGAAGCGCATGCTCCCTCGCTCCTATCGCGCCCGTGCGTGCATGTGTACGACGCGCTAATGTATGTATGCACGTACAACGGCATACGCGTGGTAAACAAAACGGAACGCCGACGACGCCGTGGACTTTCCTCGCAGGAGAATCTCCCGATGCGACGGGAGAATCGATGCCGCATACCGTATACTGCAGTCAAGTATAGGATTTTCCTTTCCCTACGTCGCGCAATCGACCCTAAGCTTGCTTTCTCTCTCTCTCTCTTTCTCGCTCTCTCTCGTGTTCGTGACGTCGTGTTCGGGAACGCGTCCTTTTCCCGAAAAGGACATTCTCAGAATTCGTCTCAGGAGACTGCCCACTGCGCAGATTTGTATGATTTTTTAAAGCAGCCCAGGTCGAAATATCGAAGTCTAGAAGAGTTCAACGTACTTCTCGGAAATCAAGCTCAAAATTAGTCACCACACAGATATTTCGGATTCCCAGAGATAAGCCGATCTCGCAGATAACGCCGCACAAGTTTCCGGTTAATCGATGAGGCATAGCCCCGATACGGATATCGAGTCCGTTACAATGGTCACGCGTCTAGACGGTCTTAATCGTGTCGTTCCGTTGCGACATGTTGAGCCTAGTCTAACCCTAAGTCGGCTAAGATGTGACCGTCCCCGATTTACCCCGGGAAAAAAGAAAGCGGCGTACTCGCGTTTACGTAACTCAATCCTAACCTAACCTAACGTAATCCTAACACCCTATCCAGCTCCCTGCGTGAAAATTTTAGAGGCCATATGACGTCACGATATACGCGTTCTTTCACGTCAATACGCAAAACGATTCTGTTTTGTATCTGGAAAACCATTAGTCAAATTCTTGCTCAATTTGACAGAAATCAAACCTAGCGATATGTCACTCTCTCCCAAAAGTGAAAAGTTTCACGTAAAACTCGACGACTTTAGCGATCATGCAACTTCTCGGGCGATGGAATTGCGAACACTTCCACGTGAAACTTGTCACGAGTTCACGCTAGGGACAAGGATACGTGATCGATACCTCTGATCGATAAAACCTGATCGCAATCGCGACTGTCGCGATAAAAGTCGCTGCGGACGAACGTACGGCGAACGCTCGTCCCCGCGTAGCCTTTACACGTAGCCTTAATTCGAAAGCTCTATTTTTAGACCTTTCGGTAAATTGCCGCTAACGAGGTCTCCGTTCGGCTTGGCAACGGGGACGCGTTATCCCGACGTGTGCTTAATCGTCCGTTCCCTGAACAATTATTTCAAAGGGAGGAAAAAGACGGCCGAAGTTCAATACGCGCGTCGGTGTAGCGACGGGAACGAGCGAGGCGCGACGCGACGCGCTCTCCTCGACCGGGAAGCCAACGTTTCTAATCCGATGATTGTTTGCACGTTTGCAGAACTGACTCCCGAGCAACAAAAGATCCTGATAGACATAAGGCGGAAGAAAACCGAGTTGCTGCTCGAGATACAAGTGAGTAGTACGCTTATCTCGTTCGGATATTTCTCATCCTCGCTCCGGCCGAGCCAGTCAGACGTGATGTTGTTGAGCATCGTTTGCGTAATACCGCGTGAGGAGAGATATCGCGCGTGTTGTGCGCTCGATGATCCACATTTAATAGAAAACGACGAGTTCCGCGCTGCCGCGGAGTTTCCGACGGAACGTCCTACCCACGTGCGACGAATGACATCACTCATCTGGAATTTGTACACGAAATGACTAACGTACGCGACGTCACACTCTCGCGTCGACGTTCGCTTATCGTGTGCGGAGGCGGCGAGAGACGAAATCAACCTGTTTCGCCAGTACACTCGGTTAACTAAATGGTGGCCGCACATTTTTCCGAATAAAGTTGCTCAACGCTCCCGGTTGTCGCAATTGAGAGACACTGCTGATGCGTTAGCACTGTAATTAGTCAATAAAGGGATGTATTTGAAGCTTCAAAGCTCGTAATTTAAACTGGAGGATAACAATATGATAATTAAATTTATCATCAAATTTATTTTCACATGTTGATCGATCAAATTTATTTTCACACTCTATACTGTCACTTTGACTCTTGTCATAATTAATTACAGCACAAACGCGTCAGCGGTGTCTCTTAGGTCTGTATTAATAGTCGTTATACTTGTTCCACGTGAGATACGCAGATATGAATTTGAGTTTTCTACTTGAATCACACGATATATGCGACATTACTTTTGCAATCGCGATTCAGCTGAAAGATTCACGTCTAACTCTAAATTCAAATCTGAGTATTTCATCTAAAACAAACTTCAAGTAATGACTATTAATACAGGCCTTAATTCGAAACAATCAGGAGCGCTGCAACTTCATCCAGAAAAATTTATGGTCACTGTTCAGTAACTGAGTTTAGTAACATCGTTTTATCGGAACGAATTGCCACGCGCGATGACATTATTTAACCCTCAAACGACAATGTAGGGTCGACGAAGACCTTGTCCGGTACATATTTTTCTCAATGCAATCCATTGAAACTTTGTAATATATTTACGCCAAAGTAAAATACTGCACTGAAAAGAATACTTTTATACAATAAAAATACCTGTCCTCTCGTTAAATTGCTACATTCATTCTAATATAAATTTTAATATACAGAAAAGAAATAAACTAAAAAAATGTATTACATTTTTTCAAAAAAATTTACTAAATTTCAAAAAACGTTTGTTTGAATAGTACTGTGAAGATATTTGTTTAAATTAAGTAATTATTTTCTAAAATTAAAGAAACGAATTTATATTTAAAACTTCTTTATTTAATTTTATTTAATACATGATCTCATCTTGTTGTTTATGTTTCATAATTTTACCTTGTGGTTAAAGGGTTAATTTTATGCAACGAGCTTTTCTAAAATCAATACACGGAGAGAATATTATAGTTGCTTTTTTTATAAATTCCTTTCAATTTTGTTATATTTCTGGCAGCGTCCAGGAATAGACTGTAAAATCTATCTTGTTATTAAGGAACGCAATACATTTGTTAGTAGTACATTCCAGTTCTTAAAATATAAGCATCACATATGGAGCGAGAATCAATATTGCTACAGAATATCGATCTGTTCCTCGGTGGCAAAATTCTATAGGAATTTTTACTTTTACCTTAACTTTTACTTAAAAATTTGTCCCTGTGTATATCGCGATCGATAATGGCGGGGCTTTTTCGATGAATCCACACACGCACTGAAATACCCGCGGATGTTATCCCGCCGAATGCGCGTTATCTCTCAGATATTTCATCGCGAGATGTCAGTGGCCCAATTTCATCTGTGAAACATATATCGTTCCTCCACACACGTGTCACGTATTTCTGCTTTCTTCTGCTGCACGTTGTGCGATCGGGAAAATTGACCGTCAGCATTTGCGATGACTGAAATTGAAAACGAAGGCAGCAGAATGTCCGCGAATTACGTACGAGCATCTACGCGACGAAATCACAAGAAAGCTTAAAGCCCTTCTGTCATTTCACCGTTCGAGAGATCACTTTGTTCCAGGGGATCAATCACGAATATTCTTCCCTAATGTGAACTCGTGAAAAGTGAAGAATCTCCTGAAAGTATATGGAAATATTCACTTTTTAGGAGCTTAAATTGGAAGAAAAGATTTATGTTCGCATCCGAGTACTCCAAAATCATTTCATGATTTCATATTGAGATAAAATGTTACATGATTTATAACACAGGCCTGCAAAATTTGAAGTATTAAAAAATTGGGATCTGACAATGTTTTCTTGCGTAATTTTTTGCGCTGAATCCGAATCCGTCTGCAGAATTGCTCTATGACGTCAAGATTTCGAAATATCCTAACCTACCTGACAAAAATATTTTTCTCAATTTTTAATTTAATTTAAAATATGGTTGAAAACAGCTTTTTGACAGTTTTAAGTTAGGATATTTTGAAATTTTGACACGAAAGCAACTCTGCAGCCAGATTCGGATTCAGCACAAAAAATTACGTAAGAAAACATTGCCAGATCTCACTCAACAAAACCATGCAGACCTGTGTAATTGATTGATCTGATCACGAAGATCGAGTTCACGTGAAAAGATTCATAATCTAATGATGTCATGAATCTCGAAAGCACAAGGAATATCGCACGTTACATTGCGCCGTGATTTTTCCTCTCGACTTCGTAGCGCAATGTGAAGAGCAGTTTTCGGTTATCATTAGATGAATAATATCAGAGTGTACCTCTCACGAAGAAAATATCTGCCGCGTCGTATCGCAAGGGCGGATAATGAGCACAATCGCGGAGATATTCTCGAAGCTGAGGCGTGGTGGTACTGTGAGGACGCGCATCCTATAAACTTATGTGTAAACGGTCAGAAAAATTCCAGGATGTTCTCCAAGATAAGGCCGTTTCCGTGGTGTCTAGATAGCCTGCCGCTTACTCATCGCGCTCGTCCCACGCGTACGTTCATCACGAGAATGCTGAACGCATACGCTGCGACAGACCTCGGATTCCGAAAAGGTCATCAAATGACCCCGTGCCCGCACCCTCGAAAACGCCGTCGCCACTTACTCATCGCATTCGCATATCCGACGTGCTGAAGGCGCCAACCATCTCGGCAGTAGCGGATTCCGAAAAGGTCACCAAATGACCCTGCAAAAGTGCTCTTGCAGTCGTAGCGAAAATTATCTAGATACGAGAAATCAAGTAAGATTGATAAATGACTAGCAAACATTGCGATATCATATATGTTTTGCGTTTAATCAAAACAGATGACAAAGGCAGAATTTCTGTCTGTGATATTTAGCAAGAAAGTTTCTCTCTGTGGCGACCATACAGACGAACTCTAGAACCCAAAACATCAAAAGTATTGGATTAAAGAGACGCAAGAAATGCATTCAGTAAGACAGAAGATGTGATTAAATGATTAATAGTTTAGGTAATGAAAAATTAAATGAGTTGTCTTTTTATTGTGTTTTAAAAGATTTAAAATAAAAGCCTGAGGAAGTTTTGCTAATCCGGTCTACTTAAACCTAACCCTCTCTCCTCACTCAGGCTTTTATACACGTTCTTCCACATAAACACAGATACACAATCCTCTTTATTCGCATTCTCCAAATACAAATACGGCTTCTGTCTCTGGATTTGATTTTTGTGGTAGACCCTTTAATCCGACTTTATATAATCTACCCAAGTCTCTCTTCCCCCGTATACACACTTGTTATATCTTCTCTTACACACATACACACAAACACACTTCTTCTTCCTCCACCTCTCCTCCAAAATTCACAAAGATGCGTTTTTAGTAGCTCTATATCGAATTTTTTAGATCATATTCTTAGTCAATTTTTGAAGGTTCTAGAAATACCAGCACATTTCCATATTTGCTCATAACTTCTGTAAAAATGATCAAAATTCAATGTTTTTTAATCAATGCAGAAAACATAGAGGAATATGAATAGATCCATCATATTTTAGAGATAAAGTTGAAAAAAATTATAATGAAAAAATAAGACGTATGTTTTTAAGGATGGCAAACGTTTGAAAAGTTGGACTGGATAAATTTTACTCATGTCTAAGGTTGTAAAGTTAAAACCAGTCGCACAGTCTTCTTTTAAAAATTGACTGTGATAAAAAAAGACCAACGACGTGAAACATACGAATATATAATCGTTACATTCACCTAAATTTGCTCGTAGATATTGCTAAAAAATGTTGCTGCTATAAATTCTAAATGTGTCACAAACAATTTTTTCTAGCAGATACAAAAAACTGTGATAAACTTAAGTGCGACATTTAGAATTCTATCTGGGCCAGCAAAATATTTTTTTGAGTGTCCGCCGAGACTTCGGCCTTTTCGAATAACGCGCTCCACGCGCGTCCTTGCTGTGCGACACTTGGGATAAATCTAGACGAAATCGGGGACGCAGTAGTACGCCCGATGGGTCTGTCGCGTACATTCCGCCGCGTATGTAAACATCTGGTGGATACGGGCAGAGTCTCGTGAATCGCGAGCCTTCAGGGTCGTCACTCTGCTTAAACTCGCCGATTCACGATGTCCAGGACGCGCTTTGCAGTCAAATCGAATAATAGCAAATCCAAGACACGTTGGTCGCGCCTGTTGGCTTGTCTTTCGTATGCTGGCGTACGAAAGAGACGCCGTGAGAAGGTAACATATAATTAATAGGCTCCCGCCAATAATAAATTCGCGCAACAACCGTGAAAGCTGGTATATCAACACATCGACTGCCGCGCAAAGATTTTCCGTCGATCGTGCGCAAGAAGTTTAACTGGCGTCTCTTGACGATCAAGGACGCGATTTCCGACACGTGCGCTTCTTGCTATCTCGTTCTATCAGTCCTCCGTTGACCGTGTATCTAATTAGATACAATTAATCGCGTCATCGGCGTGTTGTAGCGTCGGTCGCCACTGTCACGATGTTCCACGTAAATCTATTTCAACGTGAATACGAGAATCGCTGTTTTTCCGAATGATAGACTCATACATTCACTTACGAAATAGTTTGCACACGTTTTTTTCTCGATGAAGTTAGAAGCGTATTAAATGATCGCAACTGTAAGTCATTGCTCGTACACGGTAGTCAGTTATGACAGGAGTCAAAGTGACAGTACACGAGATATCCGATATCACAATTGCCATGGACTCAGAAAAACAAAAAATATCTTTATTTGTGTTATTATCTAGCAAATACACGGGGATAATTTTACAGTAAAAATTCTTATAGAATTTCGTATGAAATAATTAATTAAATGAGGTAAAAGGCAATATATTGAGGAAGCTTTGAAGAAAGGAAAAAAATATGTAGAATATTAAAAGAGTAAATTGTAATAATAGATAAGTTAGAATAAGATAAAGTAGATTAGATAATATAATGCCCGTGATAAATAAGCAATAGTAAAAAGATAGAAATTTAAATTGTGCAATATACAGATTGTCGTGATATTAGGATAAGAATATAGAGGATAGTTTAATACAAGTTAAAATTTAATACAAAATGTGGATGGATGAATGTGCTTAAGATAATATTTTTTGTAAACTAAATCCCCTTCTGGGCAAAAAATATAGTTGAAGTAATAAATATCTATAGAGCCTTGTAACTGAGAAATAGATCGACATTCCGCAATAATTCACTATCCTTTTATTTCACATGTGTTACTTATATTTTTAGAGCTAAAATGCGTTATGAAAAAATTTACTGTGTTTCTAGCGAAATTTATAATTTTTTAACAAAAAATTTTTATAAGTTTTTTTTTTAACAAAATAGACTTATTGACAATTCATTTTCTTGCATTACTAGGAATATAAATAAAATAGAAAAATATTTATATGAAGAAGAAACTATAATATTCTCTTTGTGCAAAAATATAATAAAGAGCCAAAAAATATTTTCATCGTGTATTTCGAGCCTTATAATTACTCGGCTCGGAATTGTGACCAGTTGATGCGAACTTCATCGGGAAAAAAGTGTGCAAACGAATGTACTTGGTCTCAATGCAGTACTTTCTCTTCGATGCACTTTAGAATGTAGCCAAAAGTTTAATAAGAGAATTTGTTTCTGATTAATTCCCGGAAATTGGTTTCTCTTGTCAATTGCATTCTAAGCTACGTCGAGAGAAGAATGTCCGAATCGGCATTGAAAGCAAAAATACGCGCAATTGACTCGACATTATCGATTCAACTCGGCGATTCTCAAATCGGCTTAATGCTATTTATGTATCTAGGATTTCCCTCGTTCGCCTCTCTCGTTGGCCTAACTCTCGTTAAACTCTTCTCACGTCGCGTTCGCGATCGTGAATCACGTAGAAAGCCACGAATTACCGCGGCTACATCATCGTATTAGCTGCCGCTAATAATAAACGTGAAAATCGCGATGAGAAATATGTCGGTTGAATCTTGAGACGATTACCGTCCTCTTCCTCTCCGACCTTGATCAATCGTCTTCATACGTATCCGTCGAAAGTTCGACGGGACACGCGATCACATGGAATATCTAGTTCGATTCTCGTTAAGAAGGAAACCGACACGATAAACCGGACTACTGTCGATAACGATATATGTATCACCTTAGCATACGGTGTTATCTTAAATATGGAACGCATCCCTTGATATATGGTCTTATCTTAATATCCCGTGTACTTCCCCATACACAAACATGCACAACACAGCGATACGTGGACATCTAACAAAAAAGCTCAAACTAATTGCAGGCGTAAACAAGGGAGTTACTAAAAATACGAGTCTCATAATAATGTAGGCGAAACCTTGCTGGCGATTAAAAAGGAACGCGAAGAGACGACGTTACGTAAACGAGCTGTTTACTCGGAACTCGTTCGATCGACTTGTACAATAGATAGTCGCGATGGACGGTTAGGTACGAATGGCAAGGAGGTATCGCAACAATGCGACGTGCATGCACAACAAATCGTCTTCGGCATGAACGGTTTCCCGGCGAGGAGGAAGTAGTCGTCGCAGTTGACCAATAGCTGACGCATCCACTTCGTGGTACAACATCAATGTAACAACGTCATCCGCGCCGCTCCCCCGCGTTAATCGAACGACTACTGCGACTGAACGTACCGGCTAACGTAGATCGCGTATACGTGTTGTAATGGCACTTATCATAACCGATAAAAGTTACACGCTCTATCTACAAATACGTCAGATACCGTTGTTTACGTGATTCTCTTATCGCCTTCCCGAGATTTCCCGATCATTTGTCGACCGTCGACGTAATCAATCCGGCATTTTATTTGTGTTGCTCTCTAAAAATATCTTGGGAACAAATTTCACCCGAAAAGTAGAGTGATAACGGAGTCATCGGAATTCGAGTGATTCTTTCACTCGCACAGAGTGAATTCCTCGCTCCGGACCGTCGAGTGAATATTTCCACTCGAAGTAACTCTGATGTTCACCATATTTTATAGATTGCAAAAGGTTTCGCGTTAAATATAACACAAGAAATTCACGTGTTCCACTGTCATCATTGCGTCAATTCAACACAAGACAAATATGTTAGTAAATGACACAACTTATTGACAAGTCTGTACATTTTACATGTAAAATATGTCAGTAAGAATGTAATATATATTATATATACATTGTGTGATTTGAACATTGAGAAACGATACGAGATACGAACTCTCAACACAGAAGTCAAAATAACGCAACGACAACATGTAACACGGGCAAATTTTGAGGAAAAGATGTTTACACGGGTCGATTTCGACACAAATGCAGTGTTTTTTCACAACGTGTAGGAATAAATTCGCTCTGAACGATTGAAATGTTCACTCGCATGGAGTCAGAGCCCAAACTCTGAGCTCAAACGAAACTTTTACCCTTGCGATCCCGAGTTGCAATATTTTCACTGACGCGCCGAGTGCATTTTCACTCGTTTTCAGCGAGATTTCACTTTGAGAAATTTAGAGAGTAGTGCTACATACTGCGGCGATCGGTGGCGATATATTGTCGGAAAAAGTGACCATTTGATTGACGTGATCGATTGACACGATTAATCAGCGAAATTGATACAAAGACAGACTGGCTCGAGACCTGCCAAAAAGGCGGGACGCGCGCCGAAAGCTCGGATCGATCGTTTCACCGCGGAAAATAAGTAATAAGCAATAAAAATAAGGACACGAGGACGCGCGACGCATCAATCGATTACGGATCGAGCATTTTTCGAGGCTGCTCGCGTTCGCGCTCGACCGGCCAGGGCGCGCGATCACGCGATAAAACTCGTCCAAACTAGGCGTACGCAGCTGGCCATGAACACGGTCGCGTTCCCCGTTGGTCACCTTGCACGTGCAGCGGGCAGGTGCGAGTGGCGATTTTTGAATCGCTAAAAAAAGAAGGAAAAGAAAGCACGACGAATAAGAACGCCGTAGCCGCGCCACCAATCATCTCGCTCCCGTCGTCGTCGTCGTCGTCGTGGGAATGCGAAAACCGTTTCGGAATTCGCGAGAGATTCTAAGACTCGTATTTAATAGTAGTCGCTGCTTACAACTTGTGAGACTCTTAGATTCTTATTTAGAGCCAGATCCAAGTTTTTCAGTTGAATTTCATAATATACGTGACATCATGGGGAGGAAGTCCGCACGGCATAGTCGTTGCTTGAGACTTCTTTCAAGTAAAACTTTCAGATTTGAATTTAGGCTCGTATCAAAAGTCGTTACTAGGAGGTCCTACGTGAGATATTCAGATATGAAGCTAGAATTAGATTTTAATTTCTTACTTGAATTATATATGTGACATTGCATTTGTAATCGCGATTCAGCTCACATCCAATTCAATTAATAAATTCAGATCTGAGGCAAACTTCAAATAACGACTATTAATTTATTAATAAAGTAACTGATAATATAGATCTTAGAGTCAGGAGAGAGTTTTTCGGTTAAATCACGATTACTGATATAAGTGCCACGTGTTATAATTGAATTGATTAACTTAAATCCAAGTCTGCATAAAAATCTGAATATTTCACATAAAATAAGTTTTAAGAGGGCTAACATGTAACTTTTTCTAAAAGTAGCAAACGCGTGAAGAGTGAAAAGTTCCACGTGAACTCGACTTTTACGAATGTGTAATTTCTTAAACAACGGTAATATGAAAAATTTTTCGTGAAAGTTCTTACGAATTCAGGAAAAGATACCTTCTCACTAGAGGAAAAGATACATGATTAATTGACAGGGAACTAATTATAAATCTTTTCCTCGTGTGAACTAGAGGAAAATTTTCTCCTCGTGAAAAGTAAAAAATTTAATCTTGAAAATATATGGAAATACCCACTTTTTACGAGTTTACAACGGAGGAAATGATTCATGATCACCTCCAAGCATTGCAAAATTCATTTCATGACTTCATACTAGAGAACAAATTACATGATTGGCAGGTGAGATCGAATTCACGTGAAAAGATTCATGATTGATGTCCAGGTGACAACTATTGATACGGGCCTGTATCTGCGATCGCGATTCAGCTGAAAAAAGCTGTCGTCTAACCTTGAGCTCTGATTTGAGAATGTCTTGAGACAATTTTCAAGTAATAACTGTTAACACTGATGTTAAACAGGTGAGATCGAATTCACGTGAAAAGATTCATGATTGATGCCCAGGTGACAACTATTGATACGGGCCTGTGATCGCGATTCAGCTGAAAAAAGCTGTCACCTAACCTTGAGCTCTGATCTGAAAACATAGATGTCTATACTAAACTAGGGATGCTTTCCAGGTACGTACACAAAACCAGTTTATTGGTTGCATATTATCTTATGAGATATTTTAGATAATATATAACCAATAAACTGGTTTTGTGTAGCACAGTGTAACATAGCTGGAAAGCACCCTAGATTGTTAACATAGCTTTCCAGCTATGTTACACTGTGTTACACAACTAGTTTATTGATTAGATATTATCTAAAATATCTTGTAACACATAATATGCAACCAATAAACTGGTTTTGTGTAACACAGTGTACGCAGCTGGAAAACACTCTAAGGCTTCGGACTTGCGTTGCATAAGGTTTCCAGTTGTATGCGAGAAAATGGCGGCGGTCCTGTGCGTGTGTCACTTGTGTATTTTACAACGTACAATGTGAGTCAGCGTGGCCATTAAATTATTATCGTAAAATCAAAAATGCCAGCATCTTATTGCATCAAAAAATGTTGCAACAAAAAAATAGATAGTATTGGATGTTAAGCCAGCGGCACACGATGCTTGTTTTCGTGCTGGATTGCTTGCTGCATGCAAATATTCTGTTTTGATTGGTGAATTTCTATCCATCTTCAGAGATGCGCCAATCAGAACAGAATATTTCCATCCAGCAAGCAAACCAATACGAAAACAAGTATTGTGTGCCGCTGGCTTTACTGTAACTTATTGCACCAAATGTACGAATTCAAATAGTCCAACTAAAAAGAACAGACTTGATGTAAAAATTTTGATATTACGCGACCACTTAGTGTATCCAAGTAGTTCATATTACAAAGTTAAAAATATAAAGTAACACTTCTTTTTCGTTTTATTCTATTTATATCTCTTTATAAAAATCTTTTAATTAATTCACTACAAGAATTTTTCCATGAACACACTTCGACGAACGGCGTTGTTGCAACCTTCTTTATATTTATACCATATTCCATGCTTTGTTAAGACATTTTGCATTAGAGAATATTCTTTTTGAGACCTCGGTGAAATACGATTGGTCGTTTTGTTCTGCTTCTGAGCGTTCTCGTTTTCACTTGTGATAATATTCCCAAAGAAATCTTTGTACACCTGGAAATACTCTATTCTAATTGGTCCGTCTTCCAATGCACCAATCAGAACAGAGTATTTCCATCCAGCAAGCAATCCAGCATGAAAACAAGCACATCGTGTGCCGCTGGCTTTATTTGCTTTGCTCATTTTCAACAAAAGAATTTTATAACTAAACATAGTGAAAATATGTGGTGGTAGCGGCCATTTCTTCGCATATACGGAAACTGTCGAACGCAAGCCGTGCTACGATGGCCTGTTAACAATCTAGTTTAGTATGGACATCTGTGTCTGAGAGTGTCTTGAGACGATTTTTAAATAATAACTGTTAACACTGACCTAGGAGAATCGACTGTTATGCGGTACTGTTCGGCCAGATTTTCACGTGGGTGCCTCGGCGATGTCGCCCCATCGAAATGTTTCTGGGAAGCGTGCGTTGCACGGGGATCGCCGAATATTTGTACACACGCGCGACGAGTGTGAATCGCGGCCGTGGCGAGGCGCCAGTGTTGCGCCGTCGGCGGCGGCCGGAACCCGCCAGAACGAGCAGCGCGAGCCGCAGTTGCGGGCGATCGCGTAACGACTACTGACGCGTACGTGTCGTGCCGTGCCGCCTGTAGACGACGGTGCGCTTTCCCGTCGTCGGGGGCCCTCTAGTTGAATTCAATAGCCTGAGGAATGCGGCGAACACTGTCTCCTTCATTTTTCTACCTGCGTCCGCTCGCGTAGGACGTGAGAAGGACTGCTCTAAGCACACGCGCTGCGCGAGTCTTCCCTCTCGGCGTCTCACTTTTTTGAGACTGCGTCCGTTGCCACGTGCGATCTCTCCCGAGAGAGGATTCCTCGTTCTTCCTTTGGAAGAGGAGGAGGGAAAAGAACGGTTTCTTCTTAGCAGAGGAGTGAAACGTGAGAAGTGCGAAGCGGGACATCGCGAGGTGAAGTGTCGGCGAAGGTGCTCGCGAAGGGTCGTTGCACTTCCTGCGACCGGCCTACGCGTTGTTGTCGTCGTCGGGCGACCTTTGCACCGAGGTTCCGCTTACTCTTTGTCGGCGCGGACGATGTCGCCCGGTCGTGATTCCGGTGAACGCGGAGTGCCGCGAGGTGCGCGTCGCTTCTGTTTCCACGCGAAGAAGTGAGGGGTGAAGGGCGAGGGGAGAAAAGGACACCCGCGCGCGTCCGTTAGAAACGATTGGCGAAAATGATCTTCACCGGCCGATCGGTGGACGCCCTGGACGATATGCGGGGTGCAGGTGGTGCGGCCGATATCCAGGCGGAAGGACGTCGGGACATGAAGGCCATCGCGATCGCGGCCGGATGGTTCTGCAGCCTGCGGAGGACCGGCAAAAAGAACAAGAAGAACTACCAGAAGCAGGCGAAGAGCGCCTGGGACCTCAGCGACTTGTCCACGGTTAGTCGCCCAGCGGGATCACGATCCTGCGTACAGTATGTAGGGCTGCGTTCGCTTTTTGGGTGCTTTCGTCCTGCTAACTTCGCCCTTTCTTTATTGTTCATTACATATTGAAGATGGAATGATAAAGGTAAAGGCAACAATACCTAGACACGTACTCGTCATTATTATTGCTTTTTATTAGTCCTTATTGCTTTTTAATTAGTCTTTAATATTATTTTTATTACGTAAATTTATTAGTTTTTGATATACGTATACTTAAACTTTTAATCTAGAATATATATATACTGAGGCAAAAGATATCTAAAAAATAAAAATATATTTATTCAGTAGGTACCAATAACATATTTACTCTTATATTGATATATTTTTTAAGCAAAAAAATATACACTTTCTTAAAAGCTTGACTTTCCACGAAAGCAATTGTTTGTTCTATTTAAATAAAAGAATTGAGACATGAGTAAGTATGCTATACCCACCGAATAAATATTTTTTTATTTTTTAGATATTTTTCTACCAGTCTAGATAGTATTCAATATATTTATATATGTTCCATGCTTCGTAAGTTTAGATATTCATATTTAAAGATCAAAACAATGAGAGATCAAAACAATGAGAGTGTTCAGAGTTTTTTAGATATTTTTCCACCAGTCTAGATAGTATTCAATATATTTATATATGTTCCATGCTTCGTAAGTTTAGATATTCATATTTAAAGATCAAAACAATGAGAGATCAAAACAATGAGAGTGTTCAGAGTTTTTTAGATATTTTTCCACCAGTCTAGATAGTATTCAATATATTTATATATGTTCCATGCTTCGTAAGTTTAGATATTTATATTTAAAGATCAAAACAATGAGAGTGTTCAGAGTTTTTTAGATATTTTTCCACCAGTCTAGATAGTATTCAATATATTTATATATGTTCCATGCTTCGTAAGTTTAGATATTTATATTTAAAGATCAAAACAATGAGAGTGTTCAGAGTTTTTTAGATATTTTTCCACCAGTCTAGATAGTATTCAATATATTTATATATGTTCCATGCTTCGTAAGTTTAGATATTTATATTTAAAGATCAAAACAATGAGAGTGTTCAGAGTTAGATACGTGTCCAAGGATTGCTACTTCTGCCTTAATTTCCAGCATGAAAGTGTCCAAAACGAATGCAGCCTGGATCCTCTGATTGAGGTTCTCGCGATCGATCTTTGGCGAGCGAAGGGACCCGGTGACGGGTTCCCGGGAAATTAGAAAACCGCGATTGAAAAGTTGGATCATCTGCTGCTGCTGCTGCTGCTGCTACTGCACGCGCTGTGACGAACGCTAAGATCGTTGTGAACGGTCGATCGGCGGCGATGTTCGCGAGGCGACCCAGGTATAAAAGTATCGCGATCCTTCCCGACGACTCGTGCCAACTGGTCGGTTTTATTTCTAGATGTTGTTCGGAGCTTAACCACGCGTTGCGTAGTCGCTCGGAACGTTGTTCCGGAGGTGATGGCACGTTCTCGAGTCTGCCGGGACGTCGTACGCGTCACAGCATCATTCACGTGGCCGCTGCATGACGGTCTCACATAATAAATCGCGAACGGAACACAGCGGGAAAGAAAATTTATCGGATGAGGAAAAGGCGGGGAGAAGAGAGAAGGCGTCGCTAAAAAGCAATGATTTTATAAACGAGAATGACGTCCGTTAACAAGATATTAATCGATAATTAATGTTCGATCAGATCAGGTTTCATTAGCATCGTACACACACACGCACACGTCAAAGGAGACAGAGAGTCGTTTAATTATACACGAGGCGCGCGCGTAAATGTCACTAAAGTTCAGGTTTCGTCGTGACGAGACTCGCGCGTTCGCGAACTCGTTGCCACTTCTTGACGTCATCTCCGCGAGATTCGCGCTTCCAGGGTCAAGAATCAAATGCAAAACAGACAGAGGCCGATCGTCACTGCCGGCGCGGCGTGAATCGCACGTGAGAGATCATGCGTGACGTAGACGACGGATCGTCGACGAGTCGCGATCCGTTATCAATGCGATGTCTTCGGCGCGCACGGCGATAACGATTACGACAATTCGCGGAAGTATGTCGAGAATACAGGACAGGGGGGAGGGGAGGAAGGGGAGAAGGAAAAAGAGACCGCGGACACACGCTGGCCCTGCGAAAGTGAGCTAAAGCAGTAACACTCCGCGACGTCGCGAAGTGACGTCATGAATTGAAGATTGTAAGTCAGGGAGACTTATTTATAGAAGAAACCGGGACCCGTTCCGTTCATTCTCTATGCGCGGTTTATTCTCTCTATGCGCGCGTGTACGGGATACCGACACGTGGATATTCGTAGCCGCAGAATTCTCTCCTCACGATGTGTGCCTGCATGCGTGCGTGCGATGCCGCGCGCTTGATAGCGCGATTTATCACGAGAGCGCAACGTGAATTAATTGCCATCTCGGCAATTAATTCAGTTACGTCCGCGAGGCGGCGAAGAGAGGCGACCGGCCGGGATCAACGGAGGGATCCGTGTCACTTACCCCGCGTTATAAAAGAGATTAGCCGGGTCAGCGGCGGATCGAATCGTCCGGATTCCCGATGACACGAATAACGCGCGACACGCCGGCGATAGCGGGCGGTTAAGGGCGAAAATAGATCGATGGGCGTACGTGCCACGTCCGTACGTTTAAATAGCAGCCTCTCTGCCTACCTCCACCTGCGGCGGCGTCTTTCGCGCGCGCGGAATACGCGCCTTCTGCACGCGCTCAAGGGGGATAAATATAAATTCCCGCGCGCGATGAACGGTGAATTTGACCGACTCGACCCATATACCTCGGCGAGCGTACTATTAAGAAGAGGAAAAAAGGATAAGTACGAAAAAAAAAAAAACGAAAAGGAAGAAAAGAGTCGGGCGTAAACAACTAAAATGGGTTACGCCAGTCGAAAAGCGAGCAGAGTAGAGAGAGAGAGAGAGGGAGCCAAGCGCATCGTCGAGACGCATGATTTCCTCGACGCTCATCAGCAAACGCTCAATGATACACGGAGGTATGAGCGTTTTAACTCACGTAAATAGCCGTGTTTGCTGATAAACGCGCATATCATCGTTATTTCGCAGCACACTCGAGGAGCAAACAACTCGAGAAGCCGGAGAAGTTGTCGCGGTAGCTCCGGTGTGTGACGCGCGCGCGCGCGTCACCGCGCTCGCAAACTAAACAACCGGATACTCGCTATCTGGAGCCTAATACTGCACGAACAACACGGCCGCCTCGACGATCAGTGTGCATTGTTGAATTAATGACTAAACGGCGGTTCGCGTCTCTTCGCTCATGTCTTACTCTGATTCACTCGCAGTCGCGCCGCAAGAGAGGCGCACACCGGTGTGTTATTATCGCTGTTTACGCGATAAAACGCGCCCGCGATTCCCGATCGCGCGCTGCTCCTTCAGCGCGGCGAAAGCGCGATCGCGTTTCACCACGTCGCTCTTTTCCGAGACGGGGCATAATCGCGATCTTTTCCTCTTTATCTGCGCGCAGAAAAATGCCTCAACATTTATGGCATTCAAACACACAACATTTACAGCATCGCCAGTGCTAAATAAAAATAATTATTATCTAAAATATTATCATACTTTTATTCCTGTATTGCCGATTTCAAGATTGTCTTGTTCGTGTAATCATGAATTGTAATATCGTTAAGATATATGAGAGAAAAATGTACTTTTTATTACTATTTTAATACTATTATTGAAATATTTTTTTTAATTATCCTAAAATTGTCTGCAACTTATCTGAGCAACTCATTTGCAACTCATGAAAAGTTTTATAAACAGATTACATTAGATTATTTTGTTTGCAATTCTGCATTCTGTATTGCATTCAAGTTAAATGTTACTTGTTTCAAGCGTTTTATCAATTTCCGCGAATCTATCATGAGTTCGTCATAACCATCAAATTTATTCAAAATATATTCTTATTTACAGGATGTCTCAGACCTCCATGATGACCCTTTATGAGAACGTAGAACGAATTGAGGTGAACAAGAAAGTCCTGTGCCGTTTTGCGATATTCGCAATAATAGTCGAGATATTAATTAAAAAAGATTGGTGAATGATCATGCTCAATAGATGAGCTGCAGTGGCGCCGTCTGCCATTGTATACTTATACATTAAGTCAAACTGAACAAAAGAGTCCTTTATTATTTTGTAAGTGACCACATAGATTTTTAGATATTAATTAAAGGAAATTTGTGCATTATGGTATACAATCATACATGTAACAATTTTCTTTAATATTTAAAAATCTATGTGGTCATTTGCAAAATGGTAGACAACTTTTTTGTTCAGTTTGACGTAATGCATAAGTATACAACGGCAGATGGCGCCATTGCAGCCATCTACCATATTGCGCGTGATCATTCACCAATTTTTTAAATTAATATCTCGACTATTATTGTGGATATCGCAAAACGACACAGGACTTTCTTGCTCACCTCAATCCGTACTACGTTCTCACAAAGGGCATCATGGAAGTCTGAGACACCCTATATATTTAAAATGTAATATATAATATAATCCGAAAAATATTATATTCTTTTTTATATTCTCAAGATTTATATATTAAATTATATATATATATTTTTTTTTTTTAATTCTGTGGTAAATTTAGCATTTCAATCAAGAATATTAAATGCAATAAAAAATTCGATTTACCTGCTCTATATAGAGCCAAGCCAACTTTTTCCTCGGCAAAGTTTTGTAATATTCTTGCAGAGAGAATAAATTCTCTTGAGTGTACAATAATGAGCACTTATAAAATTTTTGATGAGTATATTTTGAGGCTGTTATCAGGAAAATATTCTTTGTTGAACATAATGATTAGTTAAAGGAAGGAAAAAATAGACTGTGTAATCGCTTTTCTCAGCAGTGGAATGATATCTTTCTGTCCGTGGATTTTTTCAGTTGTAATTAGGAAAAAGAGGATGACGCAGGCCGCTGATCGTGTCGCTTACCGC